ATTATAAAATACTATATTTACTTATCATTAGTCAATTATATAATTTCCATGTTTTCGAAATGCAAGAATTAGAATATTTTTCAGTTTCAATTTTCAATTAGACAAATCATACGTAATAAATTTATAGGAACTTCATACATACTTTTGAAGTTTGCAACAAAATAACGAGTCTCAAAATCATAATTACATAATATAGACAGTATCGTATCATAGCTTAAATCTTATTTAAATATTTAGATATAGTCATTTTTAACTTTTGTACAGATAAAATCTTTTTAAAAAGTTGAAATTAAAGTCAAATGAAAGTTTTTTTTTTTTTTAAATAATAAGCTAAAGTCAAATAAATATTTTCTTTTTTTAAAAAAGGGAAAAAAAACTAATGAAGCGTGCCTAGATGAAAGAGAGGAAGAAAAAAATGCAAGCGTTTAGGAATTGAAAAAAAAAAAAGCTTCTAGGCGTGAAACTAGCACTTTACCCGAGCTTTGGGCCGAGGCATTTTTCCCGAGTTTTGAGCTTTTTAAAACACTGGTTTTCGATAGTTAGCATGAGGAGGAAATTATGCCACACACCTATTTTTAAATAAATATTTAGATTCTACTTTTGAACATTTTTTAAAATGTTTTTTTATAGTAAAATAGAAATGTTAAAAGTCAACCAAATGATACAGCTATTATTTACGATGCTAAATTTAATCCAACAAATGCGCTTTCAAATTATGATCCAATAAACACAACATTAACTTGACAAATTTTGCACCAAATCCCTAAAATTGCGTTTCTTCATATTCATTCCTAATCTTCTCCATCTAGAATTCTCTCAAGAAATCCAAAATCATCATCACACACCAATTCTTTTACAAGTGATTTCTATTCATAATGCTTTGATTTTTTCAATTTATTTTTTTCACACTCCGAGTTCTAAAAGTGATTTCTATACATAATTCTTGACTTTGTAAAGTTTCATGGGAAGTGTGTATGATTGTGTTATATGTCACAGCTGAATTCATTTTGAATCTAAGAACATATCCCAAAATGCAATCCACGTAATATATTGCCGCGTTGTAGAATCAAACATTTCGAAATAACATAGGCCTACCGAGCTCCTAGTTTAATTTTATATCTTCGGATAAAGCAAATTGTTGAGAATTTTAATTATGCACTTGTTTTTAGACGATATTGGATTCCGATACTTGATTCTCACA